GGACACCCAAGCCCTCCACAGAGCTTCCAAGCAGCTCTTTGCAATGCGCCCCATGGTCTGATTGGCCTTCTTGGCCAAAAGGGCACACAGACAGCTCCTGGTCAATTTTTGGTCAACCAGTGGTCAACTGTTGGTCAACTGTTGGTCAATCAGGACACCGCTGGCTACCTTGGCTACCAGCACAGTCTCCTGGCTGGTGGTCGGGCTCACCTCCGACAAATGGCGTACATGCGGTTCACCGTGGAGATGCGGAAGGGTTCGTTCTTGGAACGTGTGAGGCTGCTGCTGAGGGTGCCCAGCCCCAGGCGCTGGTAGTCGCGGCAGCAGGCGCGCTCCACCAAGTGGTTGATGGTCATCTTCTCCGAGGGTCTGATGGTTGTGGTGGGGGTCAAAGTGCTCCTGTCCATCTCCTCGGACACTGCAGACAGTGGAGGTCAAGGTCAGCCCCGGCACAGACGATCAAAGGATGGTTTGAGTTGGAAGGGACCTTTAAAGGCCGTCTGCTCCAACGTCAAAGGCCTCACACAACTCCAGGCAGGTGGCATCAGTCACCTCTCCTTTGTCCACCGCACAGGGACTCTGCCATTCCTGCTCCCTGTTCCCTCCAAGAGCTTTCCCCTCCCCAGCACCCACCCAGCTGCTCCCTCCTTTTGGAATGCTCCGAACCTGAGATCTCATCCTCGTTGTCCTCCGGGAAGTGCTGGCTGCTGCGCTGCTCCCAGGCAGGCGGCGTGTATTTCTTGCGTGTCACATATTGGCGACCGATGGTTTTCTTGGCATTTTTCACCAGGTTTTTGGAGAGCGTCCTGGAACAGGAGAAGAGGCTGAGGATGGCTGATGCCCGTGTGCGGCTGCAGCCCAGCACTGCAGCGGGTCCTGGTGGTTAGAGAAACACCCGCGGTGACACTCAGAGCAAAGCAGAGACGGGAGCACCCCGACCACCATCTGCAGCCTCAGTCAATGCCACAGGAGAGGAGATGTCACCTGCACGTCCTGGCACCAGGGTAGTGTGCTCCACAGGGCTCCAAACCCCAGATAAAGCCAACAGGCTGGGCTGGGCCCACAGCAGCATCCCATGGAGCGAGCAGCATCCTGGGATACGACACCTGCACTGCTACATCTGAGCTCTCAAACACTTCTATCTGTCACTGCCCTGGGTAATCAGAGAACCACAGCATGGTTTGTGTTGGAAGGGACCTTAAAGATTTTCCAGTCCAGCCCACGTGCCCTAGACCAGGTCGTCCAAAGCCCCTGCCAACCCAACTCCAACACTTCCAATGATGAAGTATTCCCTTCCATCCCAACTCCAATACTTCCAGCAATGGGGTATCCCCTTCCAATCCAACACCTAACGCTTCCAACCCAGCTCCATCACTTCCAACTATGGGTTATTCCCTTCCAACCCAACTCCTAACACTTCCAACCCAACTCCAATACTTCCAGCAATGGGGCATCCCCTTCCAATCCAACACCTAACGCTTCCAGCCCAACTCCATCACTTCCAACTATGGGTTATTCCCTTCCAACCCTACTCCTAACACTTCCAACTCAACTCCAACACTTCCAACTATGGGGTATCCCCTTGCAACCCAACTCCTAACATTTCCAACCCAACTTCAATACTTCCAGCAATGGGGCAACCCCTTCCAATCCAACACCTCATGCTTCCAACCCAACTCCATCACTTCCAACTATAGATTATTCCCTTCCAACCCAATTCCTAACACTTCCAACCCAACTCCAACACTTCCAAAATGGGGCATCCCCCTCCAATCCAACCCAAACACTTCCAACAGTGAGTATCCCCTTCCAGCCCAATTCCAACATTTCCCCAGTTGGGGTATCCTCAACTTCTCTCGGCTGCCCAGCCCAGTGCCTCAGCACCCTCAACATGGAGAATTCCTTTATCTCAAGGTGGGCTCAGTCCCTGGGAACCCCTCTGTCTGCCAGAGGCAGAACAGAGAAGGCATGGAAGAGAAATCTTCAAAACCATGCAGGTGCTTAGGCTGCATGGTCAAAGCAGAGCTCTTGAACACATCCCCCTGAAGGTAAGAATGGTCTGAGTGTGTGCAGGGCCACAGGCACATCATCATCATCTAAGAGAGCTCCAAGAGGAACAAGTGAAGGAGAAGTAGGGGAAGGGCTGACTCCAGCCCAGGGTAACATCTCATCTGATGCTCAGATTTCCAGTAATTCACCTCGAGACTACCAGGTGACTTCCTTTGCTTTGCAAAGCAGACCATGAGGAATCCAACTGCTCCCTAAACTTATCAAGGGAAGAAAAGCTTTGGGACTGAGAAGTAACACTAAGAACAATTTGCCATGTACTGAGGCAGGTTTCAAGTAGGAGTGCTTAGTAACCAGAGGAACAAGACCTGTAGACAGTGTGGAGCACAGCTGGAAGTAGACCTGTGGGGTGGTGACGGAGCTGATATCATGATCTAGGGCTGTGCCCAGGCCAGGAGCTGGGCCCCGCAGCTCTGGTGGCCTCTAGAGGTTAGTGGGAAGAAGCACAGCTCCCTGAGCACGTCCTGGGGCACCAGGACGGCCGCTCCTGAGGCCCCAAGCCTGAACGTAACACACAGCCTGGAGAAAGGTAACCCCGGCGTGACCGACCCGCAGCCCAGGCATCATGCAGAGCAGGTGAGAAGAAACCCCAGGAGCAGTGAAGGCTGCAGCCTGAGCCAATGCCACCTCGCAAGCTCGCGCCCAGAGGTGAAGGCATCTTACGTGGTCGAATGGCCAAGGTGCCCGAGGGACATGACCCCCACTGTCAGGCCCTGGAACATATCGGTCACCTGCTGGGAGCTGAGTCACAAATACACAGAGAGAAGCTCAGACTGCGGGCACAGCAAGCGCCAACACCGCAGCACCCACAGCCCAGCGCCACAGCAGAGCTTTCCCTGGCCACCAAGTGTGGGAGCTGACCCCACGGCAGCACAACGGAGCTTCCACGGCCCCACAGCACTCCCCATCCTCTGGCAGAGCAGGGACTGCACTCCTGTGCTCGCTGGGATGTCTTTCCCTCCGTCTGCTCCAGCCCAGGCAGCTGTGCAGGGAAAGCTGCTGAATGCACAGCGTGCTTCCCAGGGAGTGCTGCTCCCCTCCAAAGGTAAGCAGAGATCTTGTGCAAGCTCTGGGACCCCTCGTTCCTGCCCAGGAGCCTATGTCTGGTGCTTCCCTGCTGGAGGCGGGAGAGGAGAACCCCAGCAGCGCCTGCGAGGGCCGAGCATGTGCTGTGAGCTGCTCTCCCTGATCTGCTGTACATATACCTGAGCGAGGGGTTCTTCTCCTTGGCCTTGGGCTGCATGGCTTGCTTGGGAGACTGGCCCACAGTGAAGGCAAAGGTCCCGTGCACATGCTGGGGGTAACGCAGCTTGTGCAGGTGCTTCCTGAAGACCTCGGCGCTGTCTGAAGCCACCTCCTCATCGAAGGCAATCTTCAGCAGCTGTGGGGACAAGCAGAGAGCAGGCTTGAGAGAAAGCAGAGAACATCCTCTTCCTGTTGTTCCCCCTGGGCACAGCTCAGATCCTGGCCAGAAGTGATGGCCACAGGCAGGGAGGCTGCCCCATTGTCCCCCCAGGAGCACACCGTGTTCCTGCCGAGCACTCAGCACCCACGTGCTGTTGCTGTGGTGTTCCCAGAGTACAGTTCCAACAGCCCCACAGGAGCTGGAAAGCAGCCCCCAGCTAACCAACAAGATGCTGTTCCTACAAGAGGACCACAGCTGGTCCTGCACCAGGTCCACAACCCTCCTCTGCAAGGGGCCCTCAGGTTCCACCGCCTGCCTCTGAGGCTGCCTTTGGTCCCTACCATCCAAACAGTCTCACCTGGAATGTGCACGAGCGCAGCTGCAGGCCCTCCTGGATGAACTGATCCACCTGGGCCTGGATGTTGATCTTCTTCTCTTTGGTCAGCGAGGAGATGGGGAAGGATCGGATCACCACCTGCTCCCCCACTGGGTAGAAGAATGGGAACGGGTTGGACACATCCCACTGCCACTCTGAGACACCCCCACCAGACAGTCCCACAGGATGAGAGGGCCAGAATCGGGTTAGAGAAACTACAGCCAGGCCATGGAGATGCAACCTATGATGGGCATGATGAAAATATCATCTACAAAGAATCATTGAATGGCTTAAGTAGAAGGGAGTCTTAAAGATCATAGAATCACAGAATGGCTTGGGTTGAAAGGTACCTTATAAATCATTACAGTCATTGAATAATAGAATGGCTTGTGTTGGAAGCGACCTTATAGATCAGAGAGCCACAGAACGGTTGGGTTGAGTTGGGTTGGAAGAGTCCTTGAAGATCATAGAAGGTAGAAGGACAAAATGGTT